TGCTATGTAGAACCATCTACAGCACATTCTTAAGAATGCTTTAATCATGCAAAGGGCTCTTTGAGTGTTCATGGTTCTAAAGAGAACTATTTCCTTTACTAAAAACCCTTTGAAGAACCATTTTTAAGAGTGTAGGTAGATAAAGTCCAAGCGAGCTCTCCCATTGGTTAGGACTTCAGGAGCTGGACTGAAGGCCTTACACTTTACAATTAACTACCAACACAATTAGGAAGTGACAAAACATCGCTCTAGAGCTTCTGGAGGTTCTAGATACGTCACTGACTGTGAATATGAGCCGCAGTGTAAGCAGGTGTGGGTTAGTTGTTAGGAATGTTAAACAGTGGCGGCAGCTCTATGCAGGACTCTTTACTGAAAGAGTCACTTTAACACTGATACAGTCAAGCTCAGATATATGATAATGTCTGTTACAAACGTCTAATAACCTATATGGAACGTCTTTTACAAGCTTCAGATGTTCGTGTTTAATGTAAAACAGCTGAAAACGTAAATGTGCACCAACATTAGCTTAGTGCTAAAATACTACTAGAGTCCCATAGGGGTGCTAGCAGGACTTAGCATTACTGCAGAGTTTTGACATCTATAGCCCAAAACTGAAGGCCTACAGTCTTAAAAAATATGGTTCTTTTGTAAAGGTGGTTCTATATAGAACCAGGTACACTCAAAGAACCATTTAAGCATGTTTGCATGGTGAAATTGTTCTTCAGATTGATGGAAAATGTGCTCTATATGGTTCTATGTAGCACCAGACATGGTACTATTGTTACAGTGTCAAGCTTGTACCAATAGAAGAACCATTTTGTTTGTGCTTTATACCATTAAGCATGCAGATGGTTCTTTGAGTGTATGGTTCTATATATAACCATTGTCTTTACTAAAGAACCTTTGAAGAACCATCTATTTCAAGAGTAGATCTGATAGTCACAGTTCACCACTGTAGATAAACTATACAGTTTCAAAAACCACATAAACAGGTTTATTAGAGCGACTTCACAAATTCAGTCACACAGCTGAATGTTTATTGTGGGGTATAAGCTTCCACTGCCTGTTAGCTCCACTAGCCTTGTAGATCCAGTGCGAAACTATCCTAAAACCAAGCATGTCTTAGCCGATCGACTACATTTGGGCTCAGTTGTGCAAAAAAAAGGGGTTTGCACAAGGTGCCGCAGGAACATAATGCCACACACACACACACACACACACACACACACACCCGTACCAGCTCCGGGGGAGACTCCTGACTCCACACACACCTGTAGGTTGCGCAACTCACCTGGAATCTCCACAGAAACAAGCCCGTACACGGCCGACAGACGGGTACAGACACACCCTTTCACAACAATACACTCACAATATCTCTCGCTCTTCCTCTGTCCCCAGCACACACACACACACACACACACACACACACACAGAGTCATGTGCAAAAGTTTGAGCACCCCTCTTTATCTGTGTTTATTTGCTCTATTTATTTTTTGCTGTTTAACAGCAAAAAAAGAAAACAAAATCCAAAAAATCTGGCAAAACTTTTGCACATTCCAAATATTATGTATCATTTTTTCCAATATGTTCAATTGAGCAAATAAACATTAACTGTGTATTAAGATGTGCAGAGGATTGTTCGATATGTTAACTTTATTTACACTTACAAAATCAACAACGTGTCATTTGACCGGGGTGCCCAAACTTTTGCACACGACTGTACATACAAGACATTCTCACGAAAATGATGACAGGTCACAGTCATCGGGCAGATAATTCAGTAGGTAATCTGAGCTCTGTATGGTCCCACACATGGTCATATACGTTTTTTAAAATGTACATAAAAGGCCTGAAAACCTTTTTTATTCAATGTTTATTTTGCCGAAATAGGGTTTGGAATACATTTTGGAATGAAATAGTGCATCTGGAAATATGTGGAAAAATCCATACATTTCTTTTCTGTATGGAACAGCAGAAAGTTACTATACTACGAGTACTAATACAGAGTTAAAGTTTAAAAAGAGTTTAGAAATGAAATGAAAGTTGCAGATAAATGTCTGTTTTAGTTCTCAGAAGTCATTAGGCCTTCTATGAAGACCTGGCAGGCCCTGAGGGCTCTGCACTGACCAACACTTTCATTTTCCACAAAAATGTCTCTTCTGTTGCTGTTTGAGGTCACAAACCGAACTTCATTTGGATTCTGTTCAAGTGTGCATGAATGAGATGCTTCAGACGCCTCTGAAACTTTTGCCTTGATTAAAGTGCTAAAAAACAGCTTTTCTCACTCAGTTTTCTGCTCTTTCCTCAACTCAGCCAAGACAATTCTGGTGTCTGAAGTTTGCTTCTTTAGTTTTAGCCCTGGAGCTACGAGGCTAATGTAGCTAACAAGCAATGAGAGCTTATGTACACCAATTAGCATCATGCTAACTGCATCACAGATTTGCCTAAAATCACGTGAAGTCATTAATCAGCTCTATTAGAGGTTATTTATTTGGTTATCAATAAAAATGTAATAAAACAACAGACAAGGTTCAGGCGCTTAGCTCCACTACATGCTTTCGTCCGTTTATGTAGATAAAAAGTTCAGAGCAAATCTATTGAAGCAAACTTCAGACACCACATGTCTTGGGGCGACGTGTAAATTAGATTTTTCACCAATTTATCCACTTAAAGACTTTGTTTGCCCCTTGTTTTCCAATAGAAGGTTGAAGTCCAGAGTCCCCTAAAGGTGTTTGGGCGGTAGGATCCCCTTCTTGAACGAATGCGACCCCTCGGCTCAGGTTAATGTACAATCCCCCTCAGGCAGAATCAGCCAGACAACACAGTCTCATAGAGCTCCTTCTTCCTTTTAAACTTCTTCCAGCTGCACTGTTTATAGTGTTAAATATTATCTGTTTAGTCTCAACAGTTCATATTTTACAGATTATAAAAATGTCAGTTCCTTATTTTTTCTTATTCCCGAAATTTATGATCTGAATGCACCAACGCAAAAGTACAATGATGTTGTTTTAGTTGTACCAATAAAGCACCATGAGCAGAACTAAAGTGATCTGCATTAAACTGAATTCAAGTAAACTGAACTTTAACAAACGAAACTGCCTTGAATTGAAATGAAAGGAACTCATTCAAACAGAGCTGAACAGAGCAGCAACAAACTGATCAGAACCAGATCAATCAAACCAATTTGAAACAAACCTATGAGTTGAGCTGAACTGATTTGAATTGAATGGAACTGGATTGAACTAAATAAAACCGAACTGATGCAAACCGACTTGACTGAAACTGAATTGAATTTAAGAGACTTGAATTTAATTCAACAGAATTGGATTGAAATTGACTGAACTACATTGACTTGAACTGAACAGAATTTGATTGAAGTGTACAGAACTGAAAAAAACAGAACTCAAATATATTGACTTAAACTGAACTGAATATAATTAGATTTAAGTAAACTGAATTAAACTGAACAGAAGTTGAACTTGAACTGAGCCGAACGAGCTGAACTTGACCTGAACTGAAATAAATTGAACAGAAATGTGTTGAAATGAATTCCTCTAAACTAAAGCAAACCGACTTAAACTGAATTGACTTAACCAAAACTAGATTTAAGTGAAGTGAACTGAACAAAATTGAAGTGAATTGAACAGAATACTAAACTAAACTGGACTTATGTAAACTGACTTGATCTGAACAGAATAGAATCAAACAGACCTGAATTGAACTGAACAGACCTAAGATGCAAGTGAACTGAATTGAATTAAACTGAACTGGATTAAATTCACTTGACCCAAACTGAATTGAAGAGAATTGGGTTGCAGTGAACTGATCTGAATTGGACACAATTGGAATGAACTAAAGTAAACTAAATTAAACTGAAATGAAGTGAACTGACTTGATTAGAACTGAACTGAATTGACCAGAACTGGATTCAAGTGAATTGAACAGAATTAAACTAGGCTGCACTGATGTAAACTGACTTTGCCTGAACTGAGTGAATGGAAACAGACTTGAGTTGAATTGAACAGAATTGAGTTGAAGTGAACTGAATTAAACCGAACTGACCTGAAATAAATTGACGTGAGCTGAACTGAACAGGAATTAAACTGAACAGAAGTAAATTGACACAAACTGAATTAAACTGATATGAACTGATCTGAATTAAACTGAACTGAACTAAATTGCCGTGAACTGAACTGAATTAAACTGAACAGAAGTAAACTGACACGAACTGAATTTAACTGATATGAACTGATCTGAATTAAACTGAACTGAACTAAATTAAACTGATGTGAACTGAACTGAATTAAACTGATGTGAACTGAGCTGAATTAAACTGAATTGAACTAAATTAAACTGATGTGAACTGAATTGAATTAAACTGATGTGAACTGATGTGAACTAAATTGATGTGAACTGAACTGAATTGGACAGAACTGACATAAACTGGCACGAACTGAATGGAACTGAACTGAATTAGACTGAACAGAAGTTAAATTAACTGAAGTGAACTGATTTAACTTCAAATGAATTCATCTACACATCTGTAAATTTAACCACCAACATAAGTGGAAAAAGTGGAAAAAACACTTTTTAAACACTTTCAGCAAGAAATTGACCACCAGCGAACTTTATAACCTTTATATCTCTTCTTTAATCACTTTAATCAGCTCCAGCTCACAGCAGAGCAGCTACACCTTCTTCAAAAGAGTAAAGAAAACTAAAGCACTAAAGTCTGGACTCGTCTATCAGGAGAGAAAAGCTGCCGCACACATACAAGAGCAGATTCCCACACGGTAAGAAAAGCAGGTTTCGATAGACTGAAACTAAAACAAGTTTGTGGGGTTTGTTGAGGACTGAAACTAAAACTACACACTCAAACGAAGTGTCTACAGTGTCTACAGCCTCCGTGACAGCAACACAGAGACATAAAGGTCTACCAAACTTAATGTGAACAAGTTTAAACTCGACTAATCCCAGACGAAACTCAGCTGAGCTCTTACCGTTCAGTATGATTGAGAATATCCTGTTTTCCTTAAAGTCCTAAAGTCCTACTCTCCCTGGGAAACCTGCAGGTGAGCCATTTCCATGTCCACAAGTTCAGGTCAGCTCCCTCTGAGAGTTCTCTCACATCCTGCTCTCTGTGCCTCTGATCTCTTACACTGAGCTGTTAAAGTCCACTCTGTTACCTGAGGCTCCACCAGGTGGGAACAGAGGGGAGGGCCCAGTCCCTGTGATCAGAGCTGCTGCTCTCTGTCACCACCTGCTGGAACTAATCCATACATACACTGAAATTCTGTGTTCAATAAATCATCTTACAGTTTCTGCAGCAGATTAAAAGCCCTGTATTTACATTCTTCACACATATTTCCTCTATTAAAAATCTCTTTTAAAGATTATTAATAATAACAACAACAATCATGACAATAACTTTATTTAAGTGGCACCTCTTGAAGATAATATATGTATATAGTTGTTGTTGGAACAAAACCTCATATCCCTCATAAATAGTTAACTTTGCAGGAGAAGTCATGTAGGTCTACATAACCAGACTTTTTTCCAAGTAATTCTGATCTGTTTCTTTTGGTCTGTTCTTCTTACACAATGTAAACAGCAACAGGCGTCTACAAATTATGTCAAAAACTGAAAAGGCAAGTTTATTTATATAGCACCTTTCATACACTGCTGTCATATAAGGGCTTTACAAATGAGAAAATACAGTCAGAAAATACAGATTTGTTTAAAAAAAGTAAACAGGAATAGAAATTAATTAAACATTATTAAATCATGATTAAAACATTAGATTTGAAGGAAAAAAATCCTTACATTAAAAAACAAGGATGGTTAAGAAATCAAATAAAAGAAAATAAAAAATAATAACAATATATATATATATATATGTGTGTGTGTGTGTGTGTGTACATATGTACACACACAGGGTTTATTTTCTTATTTTACTGAGCCCCAGCTGTGAAACCACATAATCAAAAGCGCTTACCCTCAGTGGTGTGACATCATCACATAGGTGGGCGGGGCAAGCATCACATAGGAAGTTGGCCCAGCGAAGCATGAGGTGAGGAACTTTAGCTAGTTTATATCATAAGGTTGTAAAATTGTCGTAGCTAATTTACTCCACAAACGTTTAATGGAAACATTAATATGATGTAATATCACAACAAAATCAGTCAGAAATGTGTTAATGTCGTGTTTTTACTTTTGGAATTTGTTCTTATTTTGTCTCATAGTCGTCGTTATGCCCCTGTTAGGAGTTCCGGGTCTGAGCTCCGTTAGGGTTTTCGAAAAATCGCCTCTAGCGCCCCCCTGTGTTAAATAAACATGTTCAGAACCCGATACGTTCTGTCCTGTGTACATTCTTCTCCCGAACATCACTGGATCCTCTGAATTACGAGGTCGTTAAAGAGCTATAATACTAATATTGCTAAGTGCTAAAGCTACTGCACATCAATTTGATGTCACTAAGCTACACTAAACTAAGGCGGGCTGTGCCGCTGCTCTGACGAGCTGAGCTACCTTATCGAAATGTTCTACTGTAGCGCTTAATTACAGGTATACCCGTAAATAAAACCCATGGGTGGGATATTCTGATAGGCTAACACTCCTTATCAAAAATACTTTCCGTGTTAAACTACGAGGCAGAATTTCGCTTCTTTTTTTCGCAGCTTCTTGTTTGAATGTTCCCGTTCCACCTTAAATGGTGCCGCAGCTGTGACTAGCTATCACAAACATTAGCAAACGAGTCAAACTGACCTGTCGGTTCTGAGAAACAGCAAAAATAAGTTAATGTCTCTCAGCTGTTCAGCGGAAATAGAGAAACCTCCTCATATCAGGCCTTTCAGCCCTCCATGAAGCTGAACTCAGCTTCTTTTTCGCTGCTGCTTGTTTGAATTTACCCGTTCCACCTTAAATAGCGCAGCAGTCCAGAACGTGACTGCTGCACCATTTAAGGTGGAACGGGAAAATTCGAACAAAAGCTGGCGAATGTCCTCAGAAAAATGTTCCCAGCATTAAAATAATAATGAGGATATTCTGAGAGCCTAAAACAGTTTATCAGGGTGAGCAGTGATCAATAAGCTGAGTCTGTACTGGATCAGCCCGAGTTCAGGTTCGTCTGTAGAGCTTTTCAAATCCAGCTAAAAGGAGAGATCTATCGGGTTTCAGTGAGCATCAGGTGAAGAACAGAGAACTGCTGATTTTATTCTGACTCCTTTTCATTTCCCCTCAGGCTGAACATGGAAATGTTTACTACCAAAACCTGCTAATGGAGGCTGCCAGTCTAATGACGTGAATGACCTCGTAATTCAGAGGATCCGGTGGTGTTCGAGAGGAGAATGTTCTCAGGACAGAACGTATCGGGTTCTGAACATGTTTATTTAACACAGGGGGCGCTAGAGGCGGTTTTTCAAAAACCCTATTCATTCTGGTCATAGAGAAATGGAGCTCAGACCCGGAGCTCCTAATATGGGCATAAGAGCACGACGACTCCAGAATGACCACATGACTACAGTGGTCTGTTCATCCAAACACAGAGTGGTTCTGGGCTATTGGGTAAGTGTGGTTCTGGGTGATTGGGTCAGAGCTAAAAGCCTTCGCTAATGAAGAATGGAAGTAGAGAACCACTGTGTGAGCTCTGTGTGCTCTACATTAGTGGTTCCCCACCTCTCCACGTGTGTGGACCCTAACCAACCACCGAAGTGTTCGTGGACCAGCTGGATTTTCTAGCTGTTTTAAACCGAGTAAACAGTCTGCCCCAATACACTAACCACGCCGAACCTCACAGTGAGCTTAGCCTTGACCTCTGAACCCGGCCTGACACATCCTGAGTACATAACATCTTCAGAATTACAGAAATTTGTTGGTCTAATTTTTAAAATTTATGTTAGATAAACTCAAAAACTCCAAAACTGTCCTAGTCAGCCTTATTTCACCTTAAAGAAGATCACAATTAAATATGATATATAAGATCATAACATTAAACACTGTAAAGTGAAAAAAATAAAGAATAAATCAAAAAGCATTAAATAGAAAAATGAGAACATTAAATAAACAACAAACAAATATTTTGCATATTTCTCTAGTCTATTTATTTTATATACTACTTTTCAGATACATTGATGTTTATATAAAGACTAATAAATGATAAATTCTAGACTTGATTAAAAAAAAGTCTGGTGAGCCAATTTTACAGTGTGTTTGTTTATAATTATTTGCTTTTTTAACCAGCCTGGTGAATTATTTACTACTTTATTTTTTTGTTATAAAAACATTTTTATTATTAGCGAAGAATCGTTTAAAGTTTTCGACATCAGATTAACAGCCGTGTTTTTATAATCTTACTCAGATTTAATCTTCTAAAGCTTCTGATCAAAAGCAGTTACAGAAAGTGAAAGTGCTGATCAGATCATTAATCACTTAATCATCAATAACTGAAGAGGATCAATGAGACCAAAGAGCAAAGCAGTGTGAACTGCAGCTTCATCATCAACATGATCAAAAAGGTATGAACCGTTTTTTTAAAGCCGGTTTTCCTGTTAGTGCTGCTGCCGTTAACCATGTGAGCTCCCTAACATAAACAAACAAACAAATGAATAAACAAATAATATCAGTTATTAAAATAGCTATGAGATGAAAATGTAGAGTAAGACTGAAACAAAACGGATAAATTTTTTTTTTTAATAAGTTTTTCAACTTTATTTTTTGTTTAAAGGTTCTGTCAACAAAACAAAAAAAATGCTAAATAAAAGTTATGTTATATAAATAAATACAATTGTATTGCTCTGAGGGTCTGAGCTGGGGGTGCCCACGTTCACACAAAGGGTTAACCCTTCAGCTGTTGGGCAAAGTGGTCAATATAAATGAATCAGAATAAGTTTTTTAATTACCTAATAAAACAAATGATTCAATTTGGGATTTTAGGTTTGACTCACTCGAAAAGTTAAATTAAAATAATTTGAATTTGTAAACGTGTTTACGTTGATCTAACATGCAGTGTTCAGTGTCTTCAGTACACTGAACTGGCTGGTTTGTTCATCAGTGCTTAACTTAATTTTTTCAGGAGAACAGGTCGCCTCAAATTTTTTAAACTACGTGAACTCAGTTTGTCTGTTTTTCCCATGAATATTTCTAATCGGTATTTCAGTTGAATGGACTCAAAAAGAAAACTAAGTTAGAATTACTGGGCAAAGTAACTGGTGCAACAACAAAAAGAGTTAATCAAGCAGCTTTTTCACAAATTGACACTTTAAGTTATGCTAATTCAAGTTTTTGTTACACATTACTTAACTTTTTTGAGGTAACCGGCTTAAATTCAGCTTATCTGGGATTACAGTGAAGTGACGGAGGGTTAAAAGCGTTTTATAAATGTTTTTATTTGCTGTTTATATCTGTAGTGTAGCTCATTTAGGTGACTGATCTTGTACATCATGACTGTCCAGAGAAAAACGTGTATCTCCAAAACAGTAACTTTACAGCAGTGGCCAAAAACATTCCTAGCTTTTGATGTTAATCAGTGTAAAGACATTTTATTTCTATCGGCCCATTCAATTTTGACACTGAGTAAAAGAGCTACTGAGCTCAAAAGGCTAAAAAATAGATATTTTTCTTTTGTTTATTCATTCATTTATTTATTTATTTATTTATTTAGTCCATCATGCTACACTGATGCATTATATTTTCTCTTTTTTGTAAATTTTAGTTTGAAGATTCCTACATTTTCCTCCAAACCAAAAACATTTGGCAAATAAATAAATAAATAAATCAGTGTTATAAATAAGCTGCTATGTTCTGTGGCGTCACCCGACTTAAGCAGCAGAGATGGATAAACCTAAATATAACTGAGATCATAATCCTAAATATAACCGAGTACACCCCCCCCCATCGCCCCCCCACCCCCTTTCCAAGACTGAGAAGAATATTAGGGGGGGGGTCTCTAAATGTCTTGCTGTGAGTATTTATAAACACAAACAGTTCAGACTCGGCGAGTGTTTTCCTGTGGGCTGTTTCTGTTGACTTTCTGGAGAAATGTGCGCTGAAAGGTGCGTAGAAACTTCGTTTAGTTCAGTCAGGAAGGATTCAGTCTGCAGTGATTTCATACCAAACCTTCTACTTCAGTACTTCAGTGATTAAAGCGATCGTGTTTCTCTCAGCTCCGTTTCAGTCTGCAGTGTTCGGGTTATTTGGGTTTAGTTTCAGCTCCTGGTGCTGTTAACCAGTTAACCAGCAGTTAGCCAGATAAATTAAGCCCCAGTTAAGGACTGTCCAGTAGGACAGAGTCCTTCAGCTCTTTTCTTTTTGGACAAGCTTGACTTTGGATTATCTACACTCTTAAAAAAGAAGGTTCTTCTGAGGTTCTTTAGTAAAGAAAATGGTTTAATTTAGAACCGTGAACACTCAAAGAACCAATTGCATGATCAAATGGCTCTTTGCATGGTGAAGTGGTTCTTCAGATTGCTGAAGAATGTGTTCTACATGGTTCTACAAAGAACCTTTTTGAAAATGGTTATATATAGCACCAGGCTTGACATCATAACAATAGAAGAACCCTTTTTGGTGCTATATAGAGTTGTATATAGCGCATTCTCCACCAATCTGAAGAACTTTGCACCATGCAGAGAACCCTATAAGCATGCAAATGGTTCTTTGAGTGTTCATGGTTATATTGAACCATTTTCTTTACTAAAGAACCCTTGAAGAACCATCTTTTGTAAGTGTGTATCGAAGCTGAGAAATCCTTTTTTGTGAAATACTCAACTCTACTGCTCCACTGTTCATTCTCTCTCTTTTATTTTGCGCTCTCAGAACTTGTTGTGGAACCCTCAAGGGTCCATCTCAGTACCTTTAGTCAGGGAACATAACTGAACCATAATCCACTGAAATGATATGTTCTAAGCTGTACTGACTCCACACACCCCGTCTCGTCTCCAGGACTTTATTTTGCTGTTCTGTTTAAAACATTCGGTTATGAAAAGGTACAAATACGAACTTTTCACCTGGAAAAACTTATTTAAGGTTCACAATCAGACCTTAAAACCACTGTTGGAGCTTTGAGGGAACATTTACACTGTTTGTACTTTGATGAATGAGAAATGTGCCTGAACAGAACCTTTATTACTAACAATGTAGATGAAAGGAGAGAAATAAAGTCAAGCAGACTTCTGTTCCTGTACAGACTCTCCGTTTGTCAGCTGCTTGTTCGAATTTCCTGTTCCACTTTAAGTGGTGCAGCGAGGCCTCTCACACGTTACATGACAGCAGTTATTTGAGATGACCGCGGTTATTTAAGGTGGATGTAAACATTTTCCACCGTCATGAAAAGAAATAAAAATAAAATAAAACAGTAAATTCATTCACCGAGAAACACCAGCAAGAGGATAGTGGGCCGCTGTTGGCCCGCTAATGGCAAAGCTGGTGGTCTGCTGGCATTTTGCTCAGCATTTTCCAGGCGGCCCACTGATATTTAGGCAGAGTATTAGACATAATTCCTCTTATCATCACTCATATTTCCCTCACAGTCCAATTTACTCATTTCTCCTTCCTTCTTTTCTTTAGTTATACTTTGTAAATTAGTAAATAATTTTAATCCAGCGCAGTGTCAGCAACATTTTCTAAAAAATCATTTTATATTAGGTCATTATTTTTTCACTCAGCTGTTTGTAATATTTATCTTAGTTTATTTTCCAAAATAAAAGTCTCTGTGAATTTAAAATTGAGGAGATTAAAAACTAGTTAGATCTTGAGTGCAGGACAGTAATCTGGGTGGTCCGAGGGGGGACCAGCAGTGGTAAACAGTCAGCGGGGTGCCGACCTTATCAAGCCAGTGGAGTGGTATATGCTCGTTATCTGAGTAGAACCACTGCCTTCACTAAAGAACCCTTGAAGAACCGTCTTTATTAAGAGTGCAGCATAGCTCTCAAGAAGTTGTCTGCCGCGTTTACTGTTAAGAGTGAATGTTATTCTTTGTTCTAGGTGCCTCACAAACGTTGAGATGATGTTGGAGAAGGAGGAGGAGGACGCTGTGAAGCCGGAGGACCAGATGGAGCAGAAGAGAGGAGAAGATACACGCTGCAGTGGGAGAGGTAAAGAGGAGGAGTCAGAAAGGAGGTGTTTAGTGGAGCAGGATGATGGTGCAGAGAAGAATGCTGGTCATGCTGTTGCAGGTGGACGTCTGGTCTGGGACAGTCCTACCGGCAGGAGGTTTGGGGGTCTCCCCGCGCAGTGGTCTGTCGGGCAGGATGTGGTGAACGTGTTTGAGCGTTGTTTGGAGGAGGTGGAGCGCCTCCAGCTCAGACGGGACACCCTGGTACAGGAGCTGCTGGCATTAGAGCGCCCCCTGCAGGCTCAGCTACAGGACCTGCGACTGCAGCTCACACACGCGCGCAGCCGCCTCTCACACGCAGAGCTGCACAAACACACGCTGCAGGAGGAAGTGATGCGCGTGAAGAGGAAACTGTTCACCGTGATGAGAGACTGCATCCAAACCCAGATCAGCCTGGCAGCGCAGAAGTACGAGGTGGAGCAGTTCGGCTTCATACAGGTAACATACAGAACTCAGCAATGGGTCAGTGGTCTGTGTTTTTATGTCCATTTTTTATCATTGAATAATATAATAAGTTCATAACACACGTGACGCTATTCTGCAATACCTTCTTTATCTGAATGCAGTGCATCAAAATAAAAATAACGTTACACCTCCATATATGACTAAAGAACTATTAAAAAGAGTAATTTGTTCAAAATGTTTAAATAAAATAGTTTGCATAATTTTAACTTTGAAGTCTTTAAAATTATAACATTGCAAAATAGACCACCTCATTCGCCAGAACAAGGTGGGGGTTTCTAATAAAGTGGCCAGTTAGTGGAAGCACAAGGTGGGTGTTTCTACTAAAGTGGCCAGTTAGTGGAAGCACAAGGTGGGTGTTTCTAATAAAGTGGCCAGTTAGTGGAAGCACAAGGTGGGTGTTTCTACTAAAGTAGCCAGTTAGTGGAAGCACAAGGTGGGTGTTTCTAATAAAGTGGCCAGTTAGTGGAAGCACAAGGTGGGTGTTTCTAATAAAGTGGCCAGTGAGTGGAAGCACAAGGTGGATGTTTCTAATAAAGTGGCCAGTGAGTAGAAGCACAAGGTGGGTGTTTCTAATAAAGTGGCCAGTGAGTGGAAGCACAAGGTGGGTGTTTCTAATAAAGTGGCCAGTGAGCGGAAGCACAAGGTGGTGTTTCTAATAAAGTGGCCAGTGAGTAGAAGCACAAGGTGGGTGTTTCTAATAAAGTGGCCAGTGAGTGGAAGTGCAAGGTGGGTGTTTCTAATAAAGTGGCCGGTTAGTGGAAGCACTAGGTGGGTGTTTCTAATAAAGTGGCCAGTTAGTGGAAGCACAAGGTGGGTGTTTCTACTAAAGTAGCCAGTTAGTGGAAGCACAAGGTGGGTGTTTCTAATAAAGTGGCCAGTTAGTGGAAGCACAAGGTGGGTGTTTCTAATAAAGTGGCCAGTGAGTGGAAGCACAAGGTGGATGTTTCTAATAAAGTGGCCAGTGAGTAGAAGCACAAGGTGGGTGTTTCTAATAAAGTGGCCAGTGAGTGGAAGCACAAGGTGGGTGTTTCTAATAAAGTGGCCAGTGAGCGGAAGCACAAGGTGGTGTTTCTAATAAAGTGGCCAGTGAGTAGAAGCACAAGGTGGGTGTTTCTAATAAAGTGGCCAGTGAGTGGAAGTGCAAGGTGGGTGTTTCTAATAAAGTGGCCGGTTAGTGGAAGCACTAGGTGGGTGTTTCTAATAAAGTGGCCAGTTAGTGGAAGCACAAGGTGGGTGTTTCTAATAAAGTGGCCAGTGAGTAGAAACACAAGGTGGGTGTTTCTAATAAAGTGGTCAGTGTGTGAAAGCCCAAGGTGGGTGTTTCTAATAAAGTGGCCAGCTAGTGGATGCACTAGGTGGGTGTTTCTAATTAAGTGGCCAGTGAATAAAAGCACAAGGTGGGTGTTTCTAATAAAGTGGCCAGTGAGTGGAAGTATAAGATGGGTGTTTCTGATAATATGACCAGGGGGTGTAAATATCTTCCACCCCCCTTGTGCGTCTGTTGTGCAGGAGGAGCTGCAGGATGAGGTGCTGCAGCAGCTTCAGGAGTTAATGCAGATGCCTGAGGACCAGCAGATCAGACTGGCCACTCTGAGGGAGCGGCTGCAGGGTCAGCACCGTCCACGGGCCGCCAGTGACCTCTCCCACTGCCGCCGGGCCTCAGCTGACCTCTCACGCTACACACGGGCCAGCATGAAGAGCCTGGAGGAGTGGTGAGAGTAACGCAGGAATAAAGCTAATTAAAGGTGTAGTTTGCAGAAAAAACAGTACAGTTTCTAAAACTTTGTCAGAACTGTGTGACCACCTTTGAACTAAAGGATCCACATATGGTCAAACATTGCTGATGATCAGTAAGGAAGTCTAAGCACAGTAGGAGAGTGTACACATTAATTAAACAGTAGACCAGCAGTAGATCACATTTTACCCCTCACCTCAAAGGTAGTCAGTCAGCCAAGACATGTTAAAGCTGAAAAAGCAAACTTCAGACAACAAACACGCCTTGGCTGATTTTCAGTGGGCAGGCAGTCATAAAGCTCACTGTAAATCAGGACAGGATGGTGTATGTGCTGTAGGTATGAGCCGCGCTTGCTGGCCTTGCTGAGGAGGAAGCAGGCGAGTGAGGACACTCTGAGGAAGAGCCGGGAACTCGGGCAGGACCTGAAGAAACGTCTGGAGCCGCTGAGAGAGGAAGGCAGGCGGATGGAGCTGGAGAGAGAACAGCTGCAGCAGAGGATCAGTCTGATGGAGGAGGAGAAGAGAGAGAGAGTAGCACAGCACAAGGTGAGGACAGAGAGAGAGAGAGAGAGAGAGAGAGAGAGAGAGGTGATGATGATGGTGGTAATAATGATTGTGATTATGGTGATAGTAATAATTTGATGCTGATGGTGGTAATTATGATGGTTATTATAGTGATAATAATAATGATGACGGTGGTAATAATTGTGATTATGGTGATTATAGTGATAATATAATGGTGGTGATAAAAATGGTGGTGATCGTGATAGTAGGGTGGTGGTAGTGATTATACTGATGATGGTGACATCATGGTAGTGTTAATGATTGTGGTGGTGATAATGAAAGTGATGGTGATAGTGATGATCATGATGATAGGTGGTGGTGATTATACTGATGATGGTGACATCATGGTAGTGTTAATGATTGTGGTGGTGATAATGAAAGTGATGATGGTGATAGTGATCATGATGATAGGTGGTGGTGGTGATTATGGTGAAGATGGTGATGAAAGTGGTTATACTAAAAGTAATGATTGTGGTGATGGTGGTGACTGTGATGATGATAGGGTGGTGGTGGTGATGATGGTGATGAAAATGATTGTGGTGGTTATAATGAAAGTAATGATGGTGATGGTTGTGGTAATGGTGGTGATGGTGGTGATTATGGTGACGATTGTCATGAAAATGATTGTGGTGGTTATGATGAAAGGTGATGTGGTGACTGTGATGATGGTCGGGTGGTGATGATCATGGTAATGCGATGTTGGTGATTGTGGTGGTGATAATGAAAGTGATGGTTGTGATGGTGGTTATAATGAAAGTAATGGTGGTGAAGGCGATGGTGATTGTGACGATAGTAGGGTGGTGGTGATTATGGTGATTGTGGTGGTGATAATGAAAGTGATTGTGATGGTTGTGGTGATGGTGGTGACTGATGATAGGGTGGTGGTGGTGATTATGATGATGATGGTCATGAAAATGATTGTGGTGGTTATGATGAAAGTGATGATGTTGATGGTGGTGACTGTGATGATGATGATAGGGTGGTGGTGGTGATGATGGTGATGAAAATGATTGTGGTGGTTATAATGAAAGTGATGATGGTGATGGTGGTGACTGTGATGATCAGGTGGTGGTGATGATGGTGATGATGGTGATGGAAATGATTGTGGTGCTTATAATGAAAATGATAATGTGATGGTTGTAACGGTGGTAACTGTGATGATGATAGGGTGTGGTGGTGATGATGGTGAGAAAAATGATTGTGGTGGTTATAATAAAAGAAATGATGGTGATGTTTGTGGTAATGGTGGTGACTGTGATGATAGAGTGGTGGTGGTGGTGATTATGGTGATAGTGTTCATGAATATTATTGTGGTTGTTATAATGAAAGTGATGTTGGTGAGGGTGATGATGGTGATTGTGATGATGGCAGGATGGTGCTGATTATGGTGATGTGGTGGTGATAATGAAAGTGATTGTAATGGTTATGGTGATGGTGGTAAGTGATGATAGGGTG